CAAGCTGTAGCTATTTGTATTATGTACCCATTTATCAAGGATTTTCCACATCTGACAACAATAAAAGCAGCATCTATTAGAAAAGGAGAGTGCAGGTGGAAAGTTCTTTTGCAGTGAATCAAGCAAAGAAGGGTTAGGACAGAGAAGTCTTTTTGTTCTGTTTTCTGTCTGGCAAATTCCTGACTTTTGTAGCAGTCATCTGCCAAGGGAGGCTGTAGAGAAGCAAAATTACAAGGAAGAGCAAAATAGGCTGTAGCCATCCAGCTGGGAAGTAGCATGGATCCTACTTGCACAATAATCTGCTTGCTTTGATGCTTCTGCACCCACACTACTGCTAGCAATTGAAGACCTAGTTTCTGGAAAGCAGAGGTTTAATAAATGTCAAATAGTAATTTCAGGAGGTTCTGCTTGGTAGGCTCTAGCAGTGCTGTCTAGTAGACCTGATGTTCTGACAGCTCGTGAACATAGCACTCTAATGCAGGGTGTTAGAAAGCCTCTGATTGCAAAGGCTGTAAAATTTCAACAACAAATTAAAAGGTTTGTTCCTATTTAGTTCAGCAAAAGAACTACTGCCATCAAAGAGAAAAGAAAGTCATTAGCAGCTGACCACAGCTAAACTACCTAGCAAACCTTTAAGAAAGTGAGAGGAAGAAGTGCTAAAGAGTAGTTTCAGTTCCTTTTTTTTTCTACCTGAAGGAAGTTAAGTAAGTGACAGCAATACAGTGCCAGCTATACTTCCTCAGGGATCTTCATTGCAGACAGCATGTTAAAAGTGGAAGTTAGAAAAAAGAAGAAATTGTAGCTCACTTTTATACTAGAGGTGTCTATTTAAAAACAAAGCCTTTTCTTAAGGAAAAAGAGATTGGTCTTTCCATTACATGATATTCAGCTCCATTTTTTCCTCTTTCTCCATTTTTGCCCCCTAACCTTCTAAGGATGATTGCATTACAGTTGTGAGCAACTGGCACTATAAACAGCAGCAGCATGTTTTCTCCTGTACAAAAACATCCAAAGCCCTGAAAAAGCAGGCAAGGAAGCGACTGCTCAGAGACAGGCAGGTCACAGGAACATAATACACTGAAACTCATACCAATGAGCTGTGCAATAAGCCTTGTGAGGCCCCTGATCCTACACCTCACTAAAACCTCTGAATCCACAGCAAGCAAAACCACCCCTTTGCTGCAGATAGCCTTCAAGGAAAAACAGGATATGCCATCCTCCTTCCTTCCAGAGGGAGACAATCCACAGAGGGTCTACTTGGAGAATATTTGCTTCACCTGTTTCAAAAAAGAATTGGCAAGTGAACCTTTGGTGGTTCAGGCTCTGTCTCATCCTATAAAATGTGAGGAAAAATGGATACATCAGCTACAGATTGCATTTCTACAAACTGCAGAAAGGCTCCAAGGGTGCTGAAGCAGCAGCTAATTAGCTATAGCCAT